AATTTGGATTGTGTCACGAAAGTGGCCTCTCACATAACCTTTCGCCAGCAAGGCTTGGCTCAAATAGACAAGGCGGCAGCCAGCATTCTGGGAGTTTCTTGGTATAGCTGGTGTTGGGGCAATTCCTTAAAATTTCTTTTATAATATGTCAGATAAACAGTGAATCATTCCTCGATTCATCTGAGACTTTGTTTTCAGTTATGAAAAAAAACACTATAAATTGTGCATGCCCAGTAGGTCAGGTCAGAAGATAGATATCTTTGTATTTCTTTCTGAAAAATGCTTTGATCCATTTTTTCTTTTTCCTCTTTGAAGGTGTTCTGACAGCACCTCTATCTTTGGTTCTAAAAGGTTGCCCTCACAGCGATTTGAATGAACCAGGATCTCTGTAAGGTAACAAACATTGAAGAACTTAGTGGAAGCATTACTTACATTATCACATTATTCCCTTAGTGTATATCTTTTGGGAAACTGTTAAGCCAGCATTATTCCCTGAATCTGCTATAGTTCAAATGTGGAAAAAGCTTTTCCACATGCTGCTTTACAGTATAGGACATAATTGTATATGTGGCAAAACATTTTTGGACGTTTAACTTCAAAAGAATTTTTTTTTTTTAACTTTTTTAATGATGTGGCTAGCAATGGCAGGGAGGAACAGGATGGAGGAGGATGAGGAAGTCATAAATGGTCTTTCCGTAACATTTAGGATTTCAGTCGTGTTCAATAACTCTCGACTATTGGCATGCTTGCTTGTGCTAGTCAGCAGTAATTAAAATTTCAATTGATTTTTATGGCAGCCTGATCTAGTAATCTGGCACTCAATGCAGGCCATATTCAGCAAAAAATAAATATAGCATAAAGGTAAATCACATTAGTACTGACATGACCATGATGAAATGGGAAATTCTCTGTTTTAAGGTACCAAACTCCAGCTTGCTTGCTCTCCTTTGAGGCATGAAAGTCACACATACAGGTATGGACCTGAGGATGGGATTGCTCCCCCACAGCCTTTGTGCCAGCTCGCTCCCAGCCCGCATGTGACGGTGAGCCAACAGGCAGAAGTGGTCCAGCTGAAGCGACCAGCTCTGCTCATCCTCACACCCAGGGGGTGAGCACACGGGCTGCAGCAAGGTAGGAGGCAGGTGGTGTAATTGCATTAGTGCAGTGCTGTCACAAGAGCTAATTTGCTATGCCTGGCACCATGCACTGTGCACAGGGTTGCAACCATGTGGCACTGCACCCCGGGAGCCTCCTGGCTCGGGCTTGGAGACAGCATAGGTGGCTAGGCCAGGCTGAAGGTTAACAGCAGGCCCACAGGCAGCACTGAATTGCCCCATGCTTGATGCCGCGTATGTATGAACCAGCTACTTTGTGGTTTTCTGTGTAAAATAACACTGGGCATCTGACCATCACCACTGTGTCCACCAACACAGGCTGGGTCGGTTCTGGTTAAAAAACCCAAAGGGCTGGCAGTGACTCCAGATGTGACCTGCACAACCCAAGTGCTTCAGCCCGCTCCCTGCAGCGGTGCAGGCTGCTGGGGTGGGAGTGGGGCATTTCTTCCTTCTTCCTCCCCTCCCCTCCCC